TTTAATTAAAAATATTTATATAGCACAAATATTAAAATTAATACTAATTTTTTAATAATTTTTTTATACAAATTAAAACATAAAAATATATTTAAAAACATCCTTATCTTAGATATAAAAATATAAATTAAACAAACCTTTAAAAAAATATTATTCTTCCTAAAACAAACTGTAAACTAACATTCTAGAAGGAAAATAAAAAATTACTCCATATTTTCCGACAAAATGATTTGGCCAAACCCCAGAAAAGAATAAAAAAACAGTAGAAAAAATAATTATTAAAACAAGATCAGTCATGTGGCAACTTTTGATTGCTCTAGTTCCTAATTCCTACCATAAATACCCACACTAGGTTCTTCTCCTTCACGCCCTACGAATGCAACACAAGAAATTAAAGAAACAATGAGTTTTGGTGAGGTGAATCCTGAGTTGATTCCGGGGTTACCCGAAGAGCTGGCACTCGAGTGCTTGACTAGGTTACACCACACGACACACCGACACGCTGCCGGAGTTTGCCGGAGGTGGAGGGAGCTTCTCCAAAGCAAAGATTTTTACCACCAGAGGAAGCAAAATGGACACACCCGTTTGACGGCTTGCTTGGTGCAATCGGTTCAGGACGCCTCCAGTCCTGATTGGTGCAAACCGGTTGGTCCACCAAACTACCGGATCACAATTTTTGACCCCGTGAGTGGCTCATGGAGCCGTGTTGGTCCGGTTCCGAAGTGCCCTAATGGACTTCCCTTGTTTTGTCAAGTAACAAGCTCTGAAGGGAAGCTCATCGTGATCGGCGGGTGGGACTCGACGACTTTCAGGCCGGTTAGGGATGTGTTTGTGTATGACTTCATGGTCCAAAGATGGAGGAAAGGTAAGGATATGCCGGAGACTCGGTCTTTTTTCGCAATCGGCCAGTTATGTGGTCGAGTCATTGTGGCCGGCGGTCATGATCACCAGAAGAACGCGTTGAGAACGGCTTGGGCCTATGATGTGGTCCAAGATGAATGGACCGAATTGAGCCCAATGAGTCAAGAACGGGACGAGTGTGAGGGAGTGGTGGTTGGGTCGGAGTTTTGGGCCGTAAGTGGGTACAAAACGGTTTCCCAAGGTGGGTTTGAGGGTAGTGCAGAGGTACTGAATCTTGGGTCGGGCCAGTGGAGGCGAGTGGAGGATGCATGGAAAGTGGGTCAATGTCCAAGGTTACGAGTCAAGGTGGGTAGAGAAGGGAATCTGTCTAATTGGGCAGGGTATGGGCCAGAAGCCCAAGGTGGGATGTGTGCGGTCCAGCTGGATGAATGGGCCTTTGTGTCTCAGTCAGCCTACCAAGGAAGGCCACATGGGTTCTTCATGCTCAAAGAGCAGTCTGGTAAACTGGAGAAGAGAGATGTCCATGTTCCTGTAGAGTTCTCTGGGTTTGTACAATATGGTTGTGTTCTGGAGATCTAAGAAATGCAATAAAAAGAGAAGAAAAGTTTTAACATTTCAAATTTGGACCTTACATTTTTTTTTTTTTTTGATGGAAGGAACTCACATTTTAATTTAAGGTTAAGTACAAATATCTGGGATTGACAAAATTTTCAGGATTGAGTGACCATAACAACAAAATTGGACAAAATGAGTTGGATAGAATCAGGTGGGATGTCCTTTGGTTTCTACTGTACAGCAGCCAATGCTTAGCTGAACATTTGAGTATACAATCAAGAAAGTGTGCTTTCAACATACTCCATGGCTTTTCGTTTGACGTATTCGATCTTTTCTTCATCCCCAAGTGATTTCTCATACTTAAGATACTTCTTGAACAAGAACTGCAGATTAGAAGAAAGTGTTAAAGTACAACAGAAAATGCAGAACCTTGGGAGTATCTCAGAAATTAAGTTAAAGCAGGGTATACTTACTTTCATTTTCTTGGGGGGTAGGCTTAGGCTAGTTGCCCTCTCAAACAGTGCGCGGATGACATCAACATCTCCAAGTCGAATCTCCTGCCCAAAGTTTGATTTAAGTTTGTAAGATATGTGTAGCTAAGATGTGGTGAGAGCAGAAAGTCTATGGCACAAAGAAGGAACTCACTTGATCAAGATAAATGCTCCACAAGTCTGTTCTCTTGGGGTACTCCCGTAAAATGCCTTCAAACATGGATCTTGCTCTCTCTGGAACCCCACACTTGAACTCCAGTATGGCAGTCTGTGAGATGAATTTGATATGCTTATGGCGTGGCAGGCATAATAAAGCGCGGTTTACAATAGATTGAATCCCATCCTGCTGTTGCTTCAATAGCATCTGCACCCGCCTCAACCAAACCTACAATTTCATTCAGTACAAATTTAAAAGATTTTGTCAGGGTGTTAAGAACCAAGACTTAGGCTAGCTCAGCAATCATTGTTCTTTCGAGAGAAAGAGGTTCAACATTCAAATTTACTCCCTCCATCTCAGTAATGTATCAAAAAAAAGAAAGATTTTATCAATTCTTTTAAGAGGAACATAATGACATAAAAGCTGATATACCTTGCATGAGTGCTTGAACTTCTTGACCATTTTGTCTAGAAGCTCATCAGCCAACTTATGCTGATCTGTCCTCTCATACATCCCCAAGAGTGCTAAGTGTACCTTTTTGGGATCACAATACTGCAATGCTCTTTGAAATACCTTTAGGACAGCTTCCTGATGAGGAGAAGTAAAATAAATCACTGAACATCTAAGGTATCCACAGTATAACATTTCAGGCAGAAGGCAACAAAATCAAAGCCATGCCATGGGCACATTTGCATAGGGGAGGGTAGATGGGGTTTTTATTACCTCAGGAGGATTTCCATATTGATTCTCCAGATTGAAGTATGCCACCCAGATATTTAACTTCTCATTCTCCTCTCGAATGTTTATTGTTCTCAAAGCCCTTCAAGAAAAAGTTATGTCAAAGATCAAGAATAGATCGAAGAGTGTATGTAAATAAATATTATATATAGCAGCAATCTATAAAAAGAACTTCAGATAAACAATGTTACAAACAATGTTTAATGATGGTTGGCTCAGCACTTCTCTTTCCCATAGGTCATGGTAAGTTTATATTATTAGCCAAAATAGTACCTTTCAGCAATAGCACGGGCTTGCTCCACATTAGCCTGGTCAAGCATGAAAGCCATGTATTTTATCCAAACAAAACTGCTGTTTGGAGAGCTTCTAACAAGTTTCTCAAACTCGTCAGCAGTTTTTGGTGCATCTTTCTCCAACAATCTTTCTTCAGCTGCTCTGATTTCTAGCTCTCTACACAGATTAATTAAAGGCTAATAAGTATCTAGACAACCATTAAAAGATGAAATGAAAGATGATTGAGTGAGCACATGTAAATGACCTCTCTTCCTTTGCTTTCTTCTTTGCCCATCTTTTGTTCTTCGCATCCATGGGGTCCACTTCATCAACACATGCTTGATTGTTACTGATTGAGTTGTCAATATCAGAGTGCTCAATATCATCAAGAGTAACTTCAAGTGGAGGAATGGAAGCCCTTGATTCTGCTTGAGCAAGAACCAAGCTTCCTCTATTTTCATATTCAACGTCCATATTCTGAATGCTTAGATTGTTTTCCATTAATGTTGCTGCTCTTGAATCATCCATGAAAACAGTTTCCCTTATATCCTCTTCAGAATCTTCTTCCGAATGTATTTGATTATCACTACCATCCACCAAATATGAATTTTTCATGCCAAGAGAAATTCGGTGTCTTTCCTTGTCCACCTGGTAAAATACATTTAATGAGACAAAATGGGAAAAAATAAAACTAGAGAAAGTTAATGGCTATAGCTTTTAGTTTGTCTATGACAAATTACTTTCTGTTAACAATCAATTGCATAATCTAATTACATGTTTTCACTAATCATGTTGGTGAAGGAAATTCAACATAATAAGAAACCAAACCTACTTCTAGCTAATCAAACATAAAAATAAATAAAAGTAGGGCAAAAGAAAAAAAGCAAAAATAATTAAAATATAATTGTTATCATGAACTGAAATAATCTTCTCATGCCATATTTACAAATAGATATTTTCTTTACCTTCAATATTTTTGCCCTGACCTTCTCTCCTGCTTTGTACTTTGTCTCAATGTTCTCAACACGATCATCTGATAGCTCTGAGACATGGCATAATCCAACCTAAGCAGACAAAGATTATGGATGCATTAAAGCCCTGAGGAACGATAACTTAAATCAGTCATTTTCTCTTTGTTTTCACTCTATCCCTTTTTTTTTTTTTTTTTTTTTTTTTTTTTTTTT